GTTTAAGATTCGGGGCGAAGGCCTGTGTTGCCCAGTCACCCGAAACCGGGGGCGATCTTATTTGCTCTATCAGGGAATGAGGCGCGACTTCCTGTGGCATTTCATTCTCTCTTTGTTCGACCTCAGATGTGTTGAGCTCTCCCGTTCCTGCTTCGATGGCATCAGCGTGTGCTTCTGCGGAGGAATCTGCTGGTATGGTAAGCGAGTTTATGAGGTCAGGGGCTAGGCTGAGGCGCCACATCATGGTTCTTTTTTAGAGTGTTTCCCCGAACTTCTTCAATAAGACGGGCTCGAGCTCATCATCCTGAAGGTCGTTGCCTTTTCCCGCGCACGTGTAAGCGATGGTGCGCTCGTCGGGATCCGAGGTCCTATCGTACTTAGGGAGTTACGACATTCCAGATTTCGGTGAAACGGGTTCCAGAACCGCTTCCTCGGGGAACAACTGTTGCATGAACTTCCACGAACCTGACTCGGTCCTCTTGGAGAGATCCCCAAGCATCTTCGCTACGACAAGGTCTGTTATTGATCCGTTGTTGCATGATCTCTTGGGTACTCGATCGGTGCGGGGAGCTTTTCCGACGCTACTGTACTGGAAGTCTTCCGATGGTTCTGCAACTAAGCGACAACCAACTGCTGTGCCTGCAACATTTCAAAAATATCGTGAAGACTAACTTCCTGTGTTTCCCGAGCCGGGGTTTGTTGGGCTTCCTGTTGGTCTATATACTGTATGCTCCCATCAGTGTGCGAGGCTTCGTCAACCTGCTGCGTGCCTTGCGAACCTGCGTCCGCTGGAATCGGCCCAAATGCGTTATCAGGGTTCTGCGTCATCGCGCCAACCACTGGAATAGCCACACCGTTTCTACCGTGATTTTCGGGATAGTCGTTCTCGACTCTATTTACCGAGCCAGACATTTTGACCTGAAATCAAGAGATCTTTGGACAAGAAAAAGTGTGAAAGATAACGTGCGTTTGTGCAATGAAACCAGCAAGAAAATAATTACTATTATTTTTAGCCCCACGGTGGGCACCAAACTGTTTACCGTGAAAATGATAACACCAATTAAATTTGTAAATGAGATTCTAAAAATACGTGATCTATTCTCGAGCTAGTTGTTAGAGCAGTTGATGCTAAGAATATGAAGTTTAATGATGAAATGCAAGCTAGGAACGGGGCAATAACCAAACCTAAAGGCTTACTGTCCGGGCACATTTTACCGTGGGGATACGGGCTAAAACGGGGGATTGGACAAACCGAGAAACCTACTGCCTGGATGTAAGACTGGTCGATGGTGGACCTCGGGGTCGATGTCAGGGTCGAGCTCGAGGTATCGGGGATAGTCGGGAATGGGATAACAGTTAAGATATGATTAAATAAAGCTCTTTACGGCCAATACCAAGTGATAAAATGAAGAACAAGTAAGAAAGCGATAAATATTAAAGTGGCCTCGGGCCAGTGAGAACGAGCAAGTTAGAAAGAAGAGAGAGAGAGAGAGATATTGTTGCACTTGTGGAGAAATAGAGCAACCTCAGCCTTTTATAAGGTAATGCGAGTTCCCTTTATATAGGAGGGGAACTCGGCTACAGTACAACATGCATTAATTGTTAAGTATGGAGATGAGACGGCTAGATGCGTCGTTTCGGCGTAGGCCTTGGATAGGCCGGCTTTGCCAGACCTAGCCGCATGCCTTGGGAGCTTGCCCTTCTTGTTCTGGATTCGATTTCCATCTTCTCTGAATCGGGCCTTGACGAGCCCCGAGGTAGGGAACTCGGTCGTGGCTTCCCGTCCTCGGGGTCTCGAGGCGTTCTTCCGAAATGACTTGATAGCGAGAAATCAAGTCCTCTGATTTCGCCGCGTATATTGACATTTATGCGACCCACACAACGTTTCTGCGGTTGCAAAACTGACCGCAGAATTTTCTTCTTCTGCCAAAAATTTCCCTCAACACTTCAGAGCATTCTTCAACACAAAAACTCCGTGTGAAATTTTTTTTACAACCTTTGACTCATTAGTTTACAGCGGCACCACAAAAACCTTTAATTCCTTGGCGAAAATTTCCAGGGCCTTATACCCACATGGTCAAAACCCAAGTTTAGGGGTAGATCCGGACTACTAATAATCTCACAAGTCCAAATATGTGATTAAATTTCAAGCCGAGTTCAAATAGTTCCTCAAATACCCAAATACACCCTCTTAAGTTGTAGATAAAGACCCCAATTTTCTCTTTAAAAATCCATGTTCTAATTGTATAAATCCATGGGTAATCAAGACATATTATAAAATCTAAGTGAAAATTACTTACCCTCAAGGTAGTAGTAAAATTCCCTTCCAAAATCGCCTCTTCTCGAAATCTATGATTAAAAATATGAACGAATAGGTAAAATTCCGAAATTTAAAACTTAAGTAGTCTACCCAGCACAACCCTTCGTGAAGTTGGCCCAACCTCGCTTTCGCGAAGCACAAATCCTCCCCCGCCAGAAATCCTCCTTCGTGAATGTGACAGGAGCCATGCGAACATAAAGGCTTATAGCCTTACCTCTTCACAAACGCGACAAACACCTACGCGAATAGATAGGTCAAAGCCTCGAGAATAAGATCCTTCTTCGCGAACGCGACTCCCCATTCGCAAACGCGAAGCACAACAGCCAGAACCTGCATAAACGCGACTCCCCTATCACGGAAGCAAAGAACAATTACCCCCTCGCCCAACTCCTTCATTGCGAACGTAGGACACCTCTCTTGAATGGATGATACCAGACACTGACAGAAATCAGCCATCACAAACATGCTTCGGGCGGTCTGAAAATTACCCGAATCTCCGGGACCCCTTTCAACCATACCAATAAGTCATATACCTAATCCAAACTATCCAAAGACTCAAAACACCAGAAATAATATCAAAACCAAGAATCGAAGGTCAAACACCTTCTCTTAACATTCAAGCATTTCAACTTTGCCAAACATATCGGAAGCATTTCTAAATATTCCAGATCACAACCAAACATTGATCACAAGTTTCAATCAACTAAATATGAACTTATCCAAGGTTCCAAAACTTCATTCAGAACCCGATAACATCAAAGTCAACTATCGGCCAGACCTACAAACTCTCCAATTCTTCTAATTGCTAACTTTTAGCAAATAGGGCCAAAACCTTATAGGGACCTCTGAATCCGAATCTGAATATACACCCAAGTTAAAAATCACCATATAAATCTATAGGAACTGTCAAATCACCGATCCGAAGTCGTCAATTCAAAAGTCAAACCTTGGTTAACTTTAGCAACTTAAACTTCCAAAATGAGACTAAATATTCCAAATCATTCTCAGCCTTCCCGAAACCAAACCAACCATCCCCAAGTCATAAAACCTCAGACAAACTTACGAGAAGCATCAAATAGGATAACGTGGCTCAAATACACAAAAGGAATAGCCAGGTCGTTACATAAATGGAATGCAACATAAGCACATCCAGATTGTTTAGTATAGACTGTTAAAATCTATTATAAACCTTTAACATAAATCTGAAATGTTCATATTCAACCTCAAATTTAAAAGTTTACTCAAAATCACCTAAAATCTTTACCAAATTCCCTCAAAATTGAGATATAAGCTCTGTAAAATGGACTCAATCTATTGTAATAACACTCAATCCAAACAAATAATAATTTTGCAAAATTTTATTTTTTTTTAGCCAAGTTTCAAAATGAGCTTTAATGGAATTTTGTTTTTCTCCTTCAAGTTTCAAGCTCAAGTTCTTCCACATATAATGAATACAATGCATAACTTTAAAATTTTAAGAGACAATATCAGCTTCAACGATTGAATCAATCATGTTTGCAATCAAAGAGTGAACAATGAAGAGGAAGAAGTAGACTGTATAAATGCTAGTTATTTGCTGAATTTGAAGTTTATAAAAAATTCAAAATAGCCCTCGACCAAACGTAAATCCTCACTTAGCATTTCTTGGGTTAAAAATAAATGACAAACAAAATAAGGGTTCAAACTTTGAAATCAAAACTTATGGAGACCACGAATTCTTCCAAGTTATCTGATGTCCCAAAATCTATACATGTATTTAATATTCATTTATTGCATTAAGATTTTGAAGCATGTACTGAGATTCTTGTAAAGTTGCAAATTGCTTACCCTAAAATCGGATAACAACTGAATTTATACGCGGTTTTAAGGATACGCCATATAATTTGGCACAAAATAATAAGATACGTAAATTGATATTGAAATTAACTGCAAACAGAAGGAAATGTATAGCTTTGGCTCTCGAGCTAGGTCGTCATCGACCCAAACGAATATTTCACTGGAAAATATGAACAAAGTAACAGAGTATTGAAAGCTTATAAAAGAAAGGTAGTGTATTGATTTGTATTGCGTAAATGTGATGATGCTTACAAATGATCAGACCCCCTTTATATAGTAGGGGAGTCCTACTCTTAATACAATTCTAAATACAGTAAGAAATTCTATGATTAACTAATAATCGGCCTCTTCTTGATATTTGCCGTGATTCGCGTCGTGATCCTCGTCCGATTGCGGATATTTTATCTTTCCGTTATTCGACTCTATAAGCTTCCCTCGATCTCCATCTCATTTGGTCTCGATCTTGGCCGATCTCGATTTTGATCGTAAACAAAGATTTTGTACTATAGTTCGATATAATATGAGGCTGATCCTTGATTTATCGTGCTCCAGTCTCGATCAGTCGCATTGAAAGAGCAAGCCCGAATTTGAGCATATACACGTATCCATAGACCATAGTGATGAGGGAACCAGTTTAAGTACATACCTTAATTTAGGAGCATGAAAGGAAAAAATATCTGACAAAGACATTATTATCTTTCCTCTGAAATGTGAAATCCTTATATTCATTAAATGTGAAAGAGAGGTTACAGTTTTGGTCAAAGGTAATTAGAATGCATACAGTAAGTGGGAAATATATAAAAATAATAGAATATATATCTATATATCTTTAGAGCATTTGCACACTCGCACAATGATAGTGGTAAGAGAGAGAAAGAGACAAAGCAAAAACTGTGTAATGTTAATGAAAAGCCGGCTACAACTCTGTCACAACTCTACACTAGCAATTATCTCTACGCGCTATACTTCCATTAATCTTCCCTCCCCCCAAAACAATCTTTAAACTATCGCTCTTCCCCCATCGATCTTGAAACTTTAATTTTCTTGAAGTTGTTGCTGATCAGATAGGTAGATATCCTCTATTGAGATTATAAAGTAACTTTGTTGAAAATAAATCCATAGATTGGATTTTGGAAAAGATTGGATCTTGGAGGGTTAATATTTAAATGGGTTGCTTCTCCTGTTTTGATTCAAAGGAAGAGGAGAAGCTGAATCCTCAGAAAGATAGAAGAGATGATCGCAAGGAAGTCCATCTGACGGCTCCTTCAAATATATCCAGGTTATCTTCAGGTTGGTGTTATCTCTTTCTATTTAAACTATGTTTTAATCTGATCTGGGTGTTGTTCACTCGGCTGCCTAATTCAGCTCTGTTTTTATTTGAGTTTTATCAGTAGAGTAATTAAGTATTTCCTTGATCAAGATTGATTTGTGTTGGCTCTATTTTGGGTGTTGCTCACTGGGTGCCTATTGTTTCTACTCCGTCTTTGATCAAGATTGAATTTTTCTTTTGTTCTATCTGATTTATCCAATTATGTATTTCTGCTGAATTTGATGTACAAGTCCAATATTTCCAGATGGAAATTCGTAAAAAAGAAAAAAGAGAAAAGGTGATGCCTCCTTCTTTACCTTTTCAACAGTGGAAATAAGATAGGGGATTATGGTTCTAATTTGATCTGGTTGATTATTGGGGAGGGTCTCTGTTTGGTATGGAATTGGTTCGTGTCAATCTTGAACTGGACTTAAGATTAAATCTTTCATGACTTCCTCCATAGTGAAACGGGAAGTATCCTCTTCGGACTTTGGAATAGAATTTGGACTCCAAAGGTCTATTTGAATTTTTCCCTTTTCTCTTCACATGTCATACTTCTCTTCAAATGTACAAGTCCAATATTTCCAGATGGAAATTCGTAAAAAAGAAAAAAGAGAAAAGGTGATGCCTCCTTCTTTACCTTTTCAACAGTGGAAATAAGATAGGGGATTATGGTTCTAATTTGATCTGGTTGATTATTGGGGAGGGTCTCTGTTTGGTATGGAATTGGTTCGTGTCAATCTTGAACTGGACTTAAGATTAAATCTTTCATGACTTCCTCCATAGTGAAACGGGAAGTATCCTCTTCGGACTTTGGAATAGAATTTGGACTCCAAAGGTCTATTTGAATTTTTCCCTTTTCTCTTCACATGTCATAATTAAGATCTTTCCCGGTCGTTATGGATCTCCACTGTTTTATTTACAGGAGCAGACAGGCTGAAAACAAGAAGTATCAATGGTTCGAAGAGAGAGTTTTTGGGGCTAAAGGATGCACCTGACGTTCAGATTGCTGCACACACATTCACTTTCCGTGAGCTTGCAGCTGCTACAAGTAACTTCAGGCCAGAATCTTTTATAGGTGAAGGAGGGTTTGGACGTGTTTATAAAGGGCGACTACCTAGCGGTCAGGTAATTCCTGATGAGGCTTGATCTTTTAGTTCTCCCAGATTATCATGCAACCAGGCGACACACTTATTCCTTGGGATTAGAGGCTTCTGGGTAGCAGTATGAAGGCCGCATTCTGGCATAGGCGATTCTTATAGCAGCAGTTGTTACAATGCGCTTCAAAGTAGCAAGATGAGCCACATAAAATGACCTCCAGTCTACAATTATTTAAGATTTCCTTATCCTAATACATACATATATACATATATACTACATCAACCATTGAATTCCTAATCACTTGAACCATACCTAATACTTCCAATTTATGTGATGGTGTTTGATTGGATATAGAGTTTAAGAAAGAAAGAAAGACTTTTGTAACTTGTGGTCTAGAAAAAATCATAGATATTTATGTAACTATAAACCATATTATTAAGCGCAAAATGAAAAGTTTAAAGTTACATTATTTCTAAATATAGAAAAATGTCATTATTTTTGGTCAGACGAAAAAGGAAATACCATCATTTGGGACAGAGAGAGTAAATATTATAGGATGACTCAAACGAGACACACATTGGATAACTCAAAAGACATTTGAAACCAGACACTTAAACATTTAAGTATACTATTTCCAACATTTCCCCTCAATTTTAAAATGTCTTTTCATCTGTTCAATCGCTTTATTTTAGCTTCATTTTCAGCATCCTCGTTCTGTACGCCTTCCAAATTTGCTTTCAATGATGATCCTTGAAAGAAACTAGGTTGGTGATTTGGACAAAACATTTCACATTCATAATTTCAACTTCTCCATAATTTTTTCCTGAATTGATCTAAACTGAATAGTCTCATGTGCAGGCAATTCACTCTCCGTATTCTTCTAACCTTTAGTTATTGCAAGCAAAACTCAACAAAAATTTCTCTATCTTCTTTTGTTTCGTGTCTTGTGAAATTATTCAGGACGGGTCCTCAAATCTGAAGGATTTTCTCTTATCTTCAAATAGGCCTCTCAACAGGTCCTTAAACCCGAAGAAGCACCTTCAACGGAGGTTGCCCATTTTTTTGGCCTTTTCCGCTTCTAGCATCATACAAACGCGCTGATACCACTTGTTGTAATATAATGTGAGCAATGTTATCAAATATATGGACAAATAAATTGGAAAAAAATTACTATAAAGTGAAATATCAATTGTTTAATGTCGCATTTTCATGATTACACTCATTGGCAAGGAATAGTATGCCTTAGAGACTTGATGCGATACTAAAGCGGCCACAAAGTGAGGCAAAGTGCTCAACACATTTTGAGTCTCGCTTCAGGGCTTAAGCGCGGTTCAAGCGCACCTTTGACAACACTGAATGTGAGCTCTACGTAACATCATAAGGCACAAAAAGGATGGAAAAGGGAGAGAAAACTTGAAGTACAATAGTATCATTCTAAAGGACTTCGGTTTTACGAAACAACACACTAGACTCACACTAAGTTGTGCAAATTTTACATTTGTGGTGCCACACCCGTGTCGTAATTATTTCGATTGAATTTATTTCTATTATTTTTGTTTATATTGTTTAGTATTTCAAATTTTGTATAGAATTTTCTTTTTTATTTATAAATAAAAAAAAGTAATAAATACAAAAAATAGAAATAATAAGGAAGAGTAGGATTTTTTCAAGGAATGACTGGTCCATCAGAAAAGGAAAAAGGGGTGAAATTCGATTTCTTTCACTTTCATTTGATTCATTGTTAAGACGAGATATCCTTATCTCCCTCCCACCAATACTGGAAATTAACAAACAAGAAATCTAGTGAGAACACTGACACTAGTATGGGTGTGGGATACATATCTCGACAATCAACATTAGGTACTCTGACCAAAAACTACGGAGAAATTAGAGATAAGATTTGGCATTTTGATTTTTCAAGACAAGAGCTAGTGGAGATTTCTAGAGGGCTACCTACAACTTGAGAATAAAAGATTAAGGTACTACATGTAAGTCTTCCACATAATGTGTCAGAATTTATGGGATGCTTTTGTAGCTCTATTTTTATGCATAGTCGAATATCCGCATCCGAATCCGTACCTGATTCCGTACCCCGAATCTTAAGTTTTAGATCATGAAAGATCCTAGCATTAGATCTGCACCCATATCAGACCCGTGCCCAAGTCCGAGCAATTAGGACTCACATATATATAGTATAACTACTACATCAACCCTTCAACTCCTAGTTACATGAACCATAACTAATAAACATTTGTAGGATGACTCAAAAGGCACACCTTGATAACTCAGAAGGCATATGAACCCAGACAGTTAAAACATTTTACTATCTCCAGCAGGCAGAACATAAGAGGTAATGGATTAGGAAACGAAGAGAGATAGATAGAAGCAAGAGAACCAAGTTATCTGTATTGATGTCAGAATTTGTACCTATTTTTATCTGTCTAATGTTCGGTTCATTGTTTCTTTTATCCAATTTGGTTTTCTTTTTCTATTTTCTTGTCTGAAACCAAAAACTTGCAGAACACTCACCTCAATCACCCTGTGGCCTGTGGGCATTAAATAACCCTAAAAGTACATTGTGCATAGCCTCTGTGTCTGGCTAAAACTAAACCAGTAAAAAGATCTCAAACTCTTATTTTTTTTAAAAAGTAGAACACAGAAAATCAAATGGTAGTGCAGGACATTTATGATGCTTATTCTTGCCTTAACGAAATCTGCTGGAGTCCCATTTGCTGATCTCCCTTTAGTCTGCTCAGGGACAGAGTCATTTAACGTTGGTGGGGATGAACATTACATTTAATTTGGGTTGTGATTTGCTGAAATGCTATGTTATTACTCCCTCCGTTTCATATTATATGAGGTAGTTTGACTCAGCACGGAGTTTAAGAAAAAAGAAGAAGACTTTTGAAACTTATGGTCTTAAAAGCTTAATGGGTAAAAAGTTTGTGGGGCCATGACATTTGTGTGGCTATAAAAGCTTCTCATTAAGGGTAAATGAGTAAAATGAAAGAGTTTAAAGTTGAATTATTTCCAAATTTAAAAATGTGTCATTTGTTTTGGAAAAGACTAAAAAAGAAAGTACCTCATTTAATATGAAACGGAGGGAGTATATCTTAAGAAAAAAAAGGCAAAAGTAAAAACGATATTGGTATACATAATCAGTAGCTTACACTCACTATGGTTCTTCAAGGCATTTTATTTTCTACAACCTACAACCAAAAATCAGCTTATCATACTCTACTCACAAGTGCTACTACATCAAAAGCTTCAGTCTGAGGGCTTCTGGTTATACTTCAAGGAGAAACCAATAAGTTTGTATAAAGCAAGCTCGAGTTAATGTCAATTATTAACAAACTGTGCTAACTTTTCTAGATGTATTCCTTCATATTACAGTCATGTCAACTTCATCATAGACATTTAAGAAGAGATTGCTATCACTTGAAACTTCCCTTGTAATTATACAACATTTTTGTTACCATTTCCTTTAACGTTGCGAGGAGTATTGCCAATCAAAGTATCTTAGCAGTATAGGTAAATATATATCAAAGGGTTGAAGCAACTAGCAAGGCATTATCATAGAGTTCGATAAATATTACTCTCTCCGTTTCAAAAAGAATGAAACTATTACTATTTAGGGAGTCAAAAAAAGTTTTGTTGAACCATGTTTTTTGCAAATAGTTTTTAAATATTTTGAATTGTTCACTATTGTGACTTATAGTACTTTTATATAGTTTCTACATATGTTAATTTTATTTCAAAAAACTTAAAAAAATCTTTGTCTAAATTCATACCGAAAATTAATCAATTTGAGCCCTCGTACTCCAAAAAGGTTCAAACAAATTAAAATAGAGGGAGTAATAATTTATAAAATAATACTTGAAACACCCTTGGGGTGGGACTCTTCCCATGACTCTGCGTGAAGGAAAATATTTTTTGAAAAATAATTTTTTTTTTCATGTTTGGTTGACTTAAATGTTTTGGAGAACATTTTACTTAACAACTCATTTTCCTCTAATTAAAGGAAAATGACTTCCCTACAAAAAGTAGGAAAATATTTTCCAAAAAATCTCTTTCAACAATCCCGCCCTCACCCCAATCCTTACCCTCCCACCCCTGCCCCCAGACCCTGTCGGACCCAACTTGGAAAACTCGACCCTAAATCCCAATCTTGACCCCGGCCCTAAAACCCAATCCCGACCCGAACCCCAAACCCTGACCTTGAACCCCGATCTCGACCACCGATCACCGATCACCGACCTTGACCACAAACCCGGACCCCCACCGCCCCACTCCTCCCTCACCCTCACCTGTTTCGTCTCCCATAATATTTGGCTAGATTATATAATTTTCTAAAATTATTTTTTGTTGTCTAACCAAACACTAGAAAATAATTAAGAAAATCACTTATTTTCCAAGAAAATATTTTCCGATAAAATATTTTTCCGATCCTAGAATTTTGAAGCACTGCTAGTTAGTGTATGTAGAAAAAGAGGTAAATTTCATGCTTAATTGTTTAAGCAAGGCATTATCATATTCTTACATTACTTTTCTTAATTCATATGATAATTTCTGTGAAGAAACTCATAAAATGCTGCATGACAGAAATAATAACAGATTAATGGTTTGGTAGTTTACATAGTTAGACGATATGTCATGCCATGTCCAACATGTGCCATTAGTTGTGAGTAATTGAACATTCTGAGAGGATCAGAAAGGAGATAAGATATTCATCTCATTTGACTCTATGGACTTAAATACTAGAAGTACCATCTTTCAGCTTCTTAAATCCAAAATCAAACCTTTTTGTTCTCTAATCATTGTCAAGGTTTCATTCACCAAAATCTTGAATTTATGTTATGTTCAACAATTATGTATACATGCTTGATCTTCCCAAGTTGTTGCTGTAAACTTCAGTTAACTATGTCTGATGATAGTTGGTTGATCTTCCCAGGTTGTTGCAGTAAAGCAATTGGATAGGAATGGGCTTCAGGGTAATAGAGAATTTTTAGTGGAGGTGCTTATGCTTAGTCTTCTTCATCATCCTAACTTGGTGAACTTAATTGGTTATTGTGCTGACGGGGACCAGAGGCTTCTTGTCTACGAGTTCATGCCTTTGGGATCACTAGAGGATCACCTTCATGGTAACCTATTTTGCATGGCATTCTGTTTCTATGATCTATATTTCTTCTATTTTTATGTAGCAAATGGCTTATACCCCAATAAAATGCAGCAAAATATTGTATACATATTACTTCGACTGTCCCAAAAAAGAATGGTGGGATTCCTATTTATGAACATTAAAGAAAGTACGTGAATAACACTTCTTTTAATTTAAAAAAAAAATTGATTAGAAAAAATTGGTCAAAGGAAAACTGTTTGACAATCAGGATAGTAATAGTTATTTTTTGGGAACTGGAAAGAGTAATAAAGTTATTGCTTTGATTCATATGTGATTTTGCAAAGTACAGTTTATGTTCAGCTTTACATTTCAAATGATTGCATGTAAGTGACGGGAATTCAAACTGCTAAGTTGTACTTCAACTCGAATTCTTAATGTGCTTGTGATTTATTTAGCGCACAGACAAAACTTGTCCATCTTTGGCAAAGATGGAACCAAGGAAGAACTAATTCCAATAAACATAAATAAATAAAAACTCAAAGAAAGGAACTATATCGCTAATGCTATTAAGCAGCTAAGGGAAGGAATTGTACCTGAATACAGCGCGGTGTTCCTAGCAACAGAGTAAGCAAAAACTAAGGGAATTTCTAGTAAACAGTGTGAGGTACTATATAAAAAGTCTAAATCTGATCAAAAGTTTGCAGAGTTCCCTTTTAGTGAAAAAGATAATGATAACTTGCATGGAAGAAACCATATATTTCGCAGGCATTCAGGCAGCCAGTACCAGAGTTTTCATTAGAGGAATCTTTTCCATGAGATCAGAAGAAGCATCCAGTTGATTTCATGAGGATGGCTAGACCTGTTTTGCGCTCATTGCTTTTGCATCTTGACATCTATACATGTAGTACTGTGTTATCAAGAGTAACCAATACTTAAGCCTTTGATGATGCTATGTTATGACTCCAGTATGTGGTTCTTCGCACATGGAATTAGATTTGAATTGCCATGGTTGCCATTGATGTATTGTTTCTTGTCCCACCAGAATTTGACTTATACTGCCATGATAGCATTCATCTTAAAAATTGTTCACACATTCAAAATCAGTGGTGCCGTATGTCAATTCATCTCAACTATGATATTCTTTTTGTTTGTACACATTAACTCTGGTTGTAATTGTTTCTCTACTCACTTAAATTTTCATACTATACCTTGAAACTCCAAACTTTCCATTATTAATGCTGCCTTGTTGTTTCCCTGCCAGTCCCCAATTGCCGGAAGCCCACCTGCCATTCTTTCCATGCTATTATGTGACATGCCCGCAATTTAATCAGAAGTGTCAGTCAGTGTTGTATAAATTTTTCCATACACAGCACAGATAAAATTTAAAGACAAAGGGGAAGAAGAATAGAAGCTTATTATCCCCTGGGTCCTTAATAAGATGATGGTTCCAAGAGCTCTCATTGCTTTGCGATTGTATTAGTTAGTGATCTCTCAGGCATATTGTTGATGGCATGTTTTCAGCTTGCATCTTGTTTGTTACCTGTTTCATTAGCTTTTTCTTGTGAACAATCCTGTACTGCAGAGTTTTGTGGCTCTAGGCTTAGTATTCTTTAGCGATCTCATGTGAATAAGCGTAGTGCAGATCTCCCTCCTGATAAAGAGCCACTAGATTGGAACACGAGAATGAAGATAGCAGCTGGTGCAGCAAAAGGTTTGGAGTACCTTCATGATAAGGCAAACCCTCCTGTTATTTATAGGGACTTCAAGTCATCCAACATATTGCTCGAGGAAAATTTTTTCCCGAAGCTTTCAGATTTTGGACTTGCAAAACTTGGTCCTACTGGAGACAAGTCACATGTGTCCACAAGGGTCATGGGAACTTATGGTTACTGTGCCCCTGAGTATGCCATGACTGGACAATTGACTGTAAAATCTGATGTCTATAGTTTTGGGGTTGTCTTCTTGGAGCTTATCACTGGGCGTAAGGCTATTGACAGCACCATGCCTCAGGGAGAGCAAAACCTTGTCGCATGGGTAATCTGCTTTATGTCTTTCCTTTCCTTTAAAAAATTATTGAGTCCATCTCTGTGTGAAAATAACATGCTCTCAGCTATCAAATTGTATGATTGATTATCCTTTGTATTGTGATCGTACATCCAGGCTAGGCCACTGTTTAATGATCGTAGGAAGTTTGCAAAATTAGCAGATCCAAGGCTGCAAGGACAATTTCCAATGAGAGGTCTATACCAGGCTTTAGCTGTGGCGTCCATGTGTATCCAAGAACAGGCTGCTGCTCGTCCTCTAATCGGGGATGTAGTTACTGCACTTTCTTATCTAGCAAATCAGGTAGATGATAAGAGAAATAAAGATGATAGAGGTGGGAGAATATGCAGGAATGAAGATGGGGCAGGAGGAGGATCAGGACGGAAATGGCCGGACTTGGATGGAGGATCTGAGAAGGAGGATTCCCCAAGGGAAACAGCAAGGATGTTAAACAGGGATTTGGACCGAGAAAGAGCAGTTGCGGAGGCTAAAATGTGGGGCGAAAATTGGAGAGAAAAGAGAAGACAAAATGCGCAAGGCAGTTTTGATGGCACTAATGGATAGTCAGTCATCAAATGTTCCAGGATCCAGATTCCCTCCCTGACTCATTCCCCTGCTAGCTGGGTTTGCTGTAACCGTTGAAAACGGTAGTCTTGATCTGAGCTCGTAGTTTGTTAGCTCGATGCCTGTAAAAATTGAAACGTTGAAATTTCTACTATCTCAGTTAAGAGTGTGATGGAGCTATAAGGGAACTGCTGGAGCCACCTCTTTTTTTTTTTTTTTTTTTTTTTTTTTTTTTTTTTTTTTTT